TTTGAGCGCTATGGGGTGGAACATAAGCAGCAAAGGTTGCCTTCTTGTCATTTCTTTTTATTACTTGATGTCCTACATTTCGGAACGGCTGAAAACAAAATGGCTCCATCTTCCAGGGGACTGCTCTTCAAGTATTTATTTATTCATTCATTCATTCCACTTGCTTGTATAATACCACCCAATTTACTGAAAGCACTGCTCTGGGTGGTTCACAATAATATACTAAACCCAAATACACACAGACACACAAAACAGCACAATGAACAGACACACACCGACGGCCAACCAGTGAACCGTGCTTCTAATGAAGGCAGAGGGAGAATCTCTCCAAAGGCTTCTTCGAAGAGAGAGGCCTTCTGACAGCTTTTTCAAAGGCCGGGAGGGAGGAGGAAGCCGGCCCATCTCCACAGGGAAGCTCTTCTAAAGATGTGGGGCCGCTACCCCGCGGGCTTGTTCCTCACGGAGACCTTCTCCGTCTCCCTTGGAGTGGCCACCCAAAGGAGTCCCCAGGAGCCACCCCACGGACGGTCTGGGTAACAGGAAGACCCACCAGCGCGGGACGGCGTGGCTCCCGCAAGCCGCCTACTCGGCCAAGAGCAGGCGGGTTTCCTTCCCATCGTGGTTTACGCAGGGGCAAGCCTGGTAGAAGGGGCCCCATCCTGGGATGTCCTGCTCAGCCGAAGCTCAAATGGAGACTCCCCTGGGACTTCTTGTTGTCGTTTCGCACATACAAGCGATAAGGTTGATCTGGGCTCAAAAACGGGATAGCTTGTTAAGCATTACGTGAGGACTCGAGAAGATAGGTTAAAGAAAGGAGGAACATGTTTTATGATTGAACCCAGAAACAGAATATGAGAAGATAATATACATTATGGATTTTAGTACTGTAACACAGCTATGGAGTCAATTCTTGTTGTCGTTTCGCACATACAAGCGATAAGGTTGATCTGGGCTCAAAAACGGGATAGCTTGTTAAGCATTACGTGAGGACTCGAGAAGATAGGTTAAAGAAAGGAGGAACATGTTTTATGATTGAACCCAGAAACAGAATATGAGAAGATAATATACATTATGGATTTTAGTACTGTAACACAGCTATGGAGTCAAGATTATAGTAGAGACTGCATTATTGCAAACACTTCCCTGTGTGTATGTTTTGTGTGGTGTGTTTTTCCTCCCCCCCCTCCGTATTTGTATTCCTTTGATTGCTGTCTGTTTGTTGGTTATATAAGGGGGTGGGGGAGACTTCTTGTTTTTTAAATGGCCGGAGCCCCAGGGAAGAGCTCAGGCCGAGGCAGGCTCCCTTCTCGGCCATGCCCGGCACATGGAACGTCCCCTCGGAAGGCCTGCTAAAGTGACTGAATGAATCGGAGAAGTTCTAAAACACAGAACGTTTTTTTAAAAGCTGGAATCATCTTCCTCCTCCTCTTAAAAGGGCCAAGCTGGAAGGGACCCTGCAGACTGCCGTGTCCGGCCCCCGTCCAAGAAGCCCAGAGGGGAATCGAACTCCCAGCCGCCCCAGGCTCTCCAGCCAGAGACCTGGTCAGGGGCTGGAAAGCACAGACGGCAGACCGCTTGTTCCTGCGGATCCTTGACGGCGAAATCCGCGGGAAAAGAGACCCAGGGCGAAGAAGAACACCTCCGAAGTCCACCTCTTATGGAAAGGAAGAGCAAGAACCACGATGGGTTGGCTCTGAAGCTCCTCTTTAGGCCTTCAAGAATTGCTCTCGGAGGCTCCGGCAGCCGCCCCTCAGCTGCCGCTGCCGTCTCTCCCCCCCCCCATGGCTGGGCCCTGTGGAGCACCAGCCTCCGGGCTGGCTGCTGAGGCTGAGGACCTCATTCTGACGAAGCCAGGAGGAAAGGGGTGATGCTCCCCTCCCCTCCAGCTCCCTTGTCCTGATCTCAGTCTTGGACCTGGTCCCTCCCTCCCCCCCCCCCCCCCGTTCATGGCTGGGGAGTGGGGGGCAAGCTCTGCCTGGAGAAGGCCGTCTGCAACGGTCAGGACACCACGGGACGTCCACCTAGCTGGGTCTTGTCTGCTCCGGGTGGCGGCTCTCCCGTGAGAAAAGGGGGTCTTCCCTTGGTCCAGCCGCTGGACTGCAGAGGGAGGAGGAGGAGGAGGGGGTCCCCCCCAGTGTGTCCTCTTCTCCCGTTTGCTCCCTTCTGAAGCACTCACGCTGATAACAGGCCCTTATCCAGGCCGGGCCCGGCGCTGGCGGGGCCCGGCTGCGGCCCGTCATGGCTAAAGGCCTTCGCTGGTGGATTAAATGTCTGGCGGCTAATGGAGACTTTAGCCTTGGCACCCCGCCTGCCTCCTGGAGAAGAGGAGGTGATCCCTCTCTTAGTTAGCTAGTTAACGAGCCCTGGGGTGCTTCCTCGTTTGTTTTGCTTACTTGGCTTCTCTCAAGCTCTCCTCTGCAGGCAGTGGGGCTGCCCCACGGCTTTGGTGTGTGAACTGGTGGGAGGGGAAGAGTCTGAGCAGAGCCCCCCTCAAAGCCCAATGTGTGTGTGGGGGGGGGAGGGAGGAAAGCCAGTCCTGAATGGATCAGGGCCCAAGGCGGGAGACGGAGCAGCGGAGGCTGCCAATGGGAATGGGGTGGGATTCGGCCTTTTCCCCCATGGACTGAGGGGAAGGAAGGATCAACCAGTTGAAAATGAGGACCCTTGACCAGGTGGGCAGGTGGGTATAACTAGAAGGTTCACATGGAGGTTGTTTACATGTGCAATTAATCGGGATATTCGTTTAGGTTTAGGAGAAAGAACAGAGATCAGTTGTGGATGCCTTTGTGTCAGTTTAAAAAGGACAAAAGAGTTTCAAGCTGGAATCCTAGCAGAAGCATTCCAGGAAGAATATACTGTAGTTACATTCACCAAAACCAAACCAAATCAGTACATACTGAAATTTTTCCTAGGCAAAGCTGAATTGGATGAGAGGATTTTGCTGCCGTGAGAGATGCCATCAAAAGAGATACGAACCCACCCCCCCCACCCCCCAGCAAACCTCTTTGAATGACACCTCTGTGGCATGGAAAAACCAAGACTGGTGAAACAAGCAGCCAGGCCAAGCGTCCGCCAGCCCCGGCTTTTCGAAGGAGACCTAAACGTGCTCAACGATGTGGCAGCAAAACTTGCAAATCAAAGTATCATTATTAAAGCAGAAACGAAAAGATCGTAACTACCTAACCCAGCATATCACCGGTGGTCCGGATAAGAAGGTCAAGCAGAACCTCCTCTGAGATCCCAGATGGGTCGGTCCTGGGAAGGCTCAGGAGAAAGACGAGTGGAGAGAAGGCTGTGTCAGGGAGAGGGAACGTCCTTCTCTCCCCTGGGGAGACAAAGGGAATCAGGACTGAAGATTCAGGGGGAGTCTTGGGAGGGGGGCGGGGGGGGGAGAAGCTTCTTCACTCAAGATGCAGTGATGGGTTTCTGCTGTTGTTCCACGGACATTCCTAAAGCTTCCTGATTTCTGGTCGGTCCTGGTTCCCTCTTGCCC